TCCCCCCCGCGCGCCCCGCCGGCTCCCCGCGCCGCCGCCGGCAACCGTCCTCTAAAAGCACCCGCACCACGTCTGAGCAGGTGGTGCGGCGAGAGAGGCCGGACACCAGCTTCTCCTCTTGGCAGATCCACACCGATATCTTCTTCTCCGAAGGATCCATGGTGCAACTGGGACGCGAGGGACGGGTCCGACTAGGCGCTACTGGGGCGGCTGGGCCAGCACCGGCAACCTGGCAGCTCCCGAACTGAAGGAGAATCCGTGACCCGGTCCCCGGCGTCACTAGCCTTTCTCCCCCACTGTGTACTGAAATCAGGCGGCGGCTCCCGCAGCAGCGGCTGTTTTCTGCTTGGACGGCGGGCTCTCCCGAGGCAGCGTGCCGGGGCTCGGGTTCCAGCGACTCTGGCTCTGCCCGCGGTGCCCGAGGCCTCTGGGTTTTGCTCCTCCCCACCTGGCTCCACCTCTTCCCGCCCCCAGCGCCCTGAGCTGCGGCTGAAAGCACCGCAGGCGCGTCGCCCAGACTCGCCCCTCCCAGCCCCGCCGCCGGGTCTGCCCTTGGCTCGGGTTGCTGTCCAGTTCTCCACTCGAGCAAAGAAGGACTCCAGGACCTCTCTGCCACAAGGCGTGGAGTCCGCACCTCACCTGGCATCAGCTCTGCGACCCCCTCCGCTCCGCCTTGCCTCGCGTGGAGACCTGGCTGGAAACACCTTAACCTGACTTGCTCCTTTCCCAGTGCTCCCAGATGTGCGTGGTCTTGGTCCTTCAGGACAGTGCCCTCTGTACACTGCACTTTGCACAGGCGGGGAAACTGAGGCACCCAACAGTTTTTAGTGGGGACGTTGTGATCCACTACCTGACCAGCTCCGGTTTGTAAGCGCGGTCTCCAAGCCTTCCAGTCCTCCTCAACCACAGCGGGGTCGTGAGCAGATAGATATGCAATGGTTTGAGGGTGGAGCTCAGAACTGTGGGTCCTCACCTCCATTTCCCACAACCTTCGTGACAGAAAAACTGTTACAGAGGGAGTCTGGGAGGCAGGCCGTTCCTATGACTGTTTCTGCTGTTGCTGGCATCTAGATATGCTCTGCAAACGCTAAGATTCAAGTGTCAGAACACAAATCCAAAGCCACAATACGGAAGCTTCTTAAACCCTCTTAGTGCAAGGCTTGCTCTGAGCTTGTCCAGGGAAGCACACATCTGACAGCTCACTCCCCTGTCTCAAGACCCTGGATATATCATTAATCTTGTAAAGTACTTTTGTCGATGGAAAGATTCCTTCCTGGAACATTTGCTGAGTTCCCACTGTGCTCTAAGGCCAGTGTAAGGGATGTGATGATGAGCAAATCTCCTGGCCTACAAGAAGCTCACCGTAGCTCAATAACCATTTCCACCACCAGGTCTTCTAGGTTCTGACCAAGAAAGTCACAATGTATTAGGGGAACATGCCTAGATGCTGCACAGCAGCATAGACCTCATCCATGACAGTCCACAAAGCCTTCCCATCAGGGGTGCCATCTGGGGCAAGACCAAAAAGAATCATTTG